AAGAACAATTTATAGGGGTTTAGTCCACAATTGGCTGACTCCAAGGCAGAATGCCATTGGAGATGAGCATCGCAGGGAAGAAACAGCTCATGGTGAACAGATGGCAGCAAAGCAACAAGAGACAACCACAGCTCTTTCTATCCTTTATATCTTATCAGGCTACTCAGGGCAGGTAGCACTCATACCCTTAATCCTAGTGCCCTTGACTCTAGCAATGCACCATGAATCAATCCCATTGTTACACACTTTAGATCCAGCCACCTCTGAAAAAGTCCCGCCTATGACTGCCTGAGGCTTTGAGGGACATCCAGACACAAGCCATAACCCTGCACAAAAAGAAAAATAGAAATATTGTACTATCCCTTATGAACTCATGCAGAACCGAAGGACTGGGTTACTGGACCAGGCAAATGTGGGTGCATTTGACAGGGTAAATGCCTGCTTCCATCCTAGCAGGGTGACTGTCTCACCTAGTTGGGGGAGGGGAGAGAATGAGAACTCAGGATACTTGCCATGGGCTAAAAATGTCATCTAGTATGCTAGCTGCTCTTACCATGGGGATCAAATATGTATTAAAAAATCTATTAATCGGGGCCGGGGAGATAGCTCAGTAGAATAAGCGCTTGCCTGGCAAGCACAAAGGCCTGAGTTCAATCCCCGGTTCCACCAAAAAATAAAAAATAAATAAAAAATTAAAAAAAAATCTATTAATCATAATAAAGTGAATGGGCTCTTAAAAGGCACGAAGGAAAACCCAGCTTCTTTTTACAACTGATTAGCTGAGGCCTTCCACACGTATGCAAACACAGATCCATCTTCTAGAGAGGGAGAGGCACTAATGAGACATTTCATTTGTCAGTCAGCCCCAGATATTCAACATAAGCTACAAAAACTTCGAATGAGGTCTCAGACACATATGACCTACCTGTTTGACACAATCTTTTCTGTGTTCAACAACTGGGACCCAGAGAAGAAAGAGAAAGGCTACGATTATGATTATGCAATTGGTGATGCTTAAAACCCACTCAGGTTATCTAAGAAAAAAGCAAAACCCAGGGACAACAGAGGAAATGGTTCCTGTTTCAAGTGTAAGAAGACTGGACATTGGGCACCAGATTGCGCTAAGCCTCCACCCCTGGGCCCTGCTCTAAATGTGAGGGAGTTGATGTGCCTGACTTGCAGCACTGGAGGTCTTGCTGTCCCCATTCCTGGAGAGGGGTCAGGCCTGCCAGAAGCCTCATTTCCTATGACGACTGAGAAGGCCCAGAGGAACCTGCAACGCCCCTATCCATGGACATCACCATCTCCCTGAGAAACTCTAGGTGATCTTAGACATCATGGACGAGCCAATTCAATGGCTTATGCGTATGGGGCAGCTCACCCTGTTTTGATTTCCTTCTCTGGAAAACTCCTTTAGGTCTATACCACAGTTGGAGGGGATGGGACCTGTAGTTGGAGATTCTGTACCCCTCCTCTGAGGTGTCACTTTGAAGGACAAATGTTTAACCATGAGTTTCTCTTTTCCCACAGTGTCTTACCCCTTGCTAGAAGAGATTTATTAACAAAATTAGGAGCAATTTTCACATTCCTGCTAATACTAAAATGGATTTTACTTACTGGCACCAGGTCTCCCTGGCCAAATTAGCCAACAGGTGAATCCTGCTCCAAGATATAAGGGAAACCATGATAGGGCAAATTCTGCTATGCCAATAGTTACAAGGCTAAAAGCTCCCAGCTGGTTCCTGAGTACGATATCAAGGAAAAGGCACATAAAGGGCTGTAGCCTCTCACAGACAAGCTTCTCAAACAGGGCCTTCTGAAGCCTTCAATACCCCATTCTCCCTGTGATAAAGCCCTCAGGAGAATGCAGGCTGGTGCAAGGCCTCTACCTAATAATTAACAAGGCTGTTATTGCAATCTACCCTCTGGGGGCAGACCCATATTCCAAGCATAATTCGCTCCCAAATTCCAAGTGATAGTAATTGGCTCTCAGTCACAGATTTAAAAGGTGCATTCTTTTCCAAGATGGTACATAAGACTCTGTGTTTGCCTTTGAATGAAAAAAATCCCCTTCCAAGAAAAACAATATATTGATCAGTTCTCCCACAGAGATTAAGAGACAGTCCTTATCTGTTTTTTTTTTTTTTTTTTTTTTTTTGTTGTTGTTGTTGTTTGTTTGTTTTTATGGTTGGCTCAGCTCACCCTAGGGGCAGGGCTGGCACAGCACATGGTATCCAGGATCAAATCATGGCCCCTGCACACTTGTCTAAGTTTGCCTAAGCAGGCACTTTATTACCCCACTGAGCTACCTCCCTGGCTCTAGTCCTTATCATTTTGCTTGAGCACTAGAAAAAGACTTGAGGGCCAGGGAGATAGCTCAGTAGAATAAGTGCTTGCCTGGTAAGCACAAGGACCTGAGTTCAATCCCCAGTTCCTAAAAAAAAAAAAGAAAGAAAAAGAAAAAGACTTGAGAAACCTATAGCTAGAACAAGGAACCATCCTGCAGTATGTAGATTACATTTAGTTTGTAGCCCACCTCTGGAATTAGAGTATATATTACTATGGGATATATATATATATAGATAGATAGATATAGATATAAATATATATACATATATGTACATACACATACATATCATTAATTCATTCACCATTTTAACTTTTAGCTCAAAAACAGCAGAAAAGCATGTCCACCTACCTTATATTTGTCTTAATATATTTTTTCTTGCCACTTTTGCTCATTATTAAGACATTTGCAATCAATTCTTTTCTCCTTCTCCACTGTCTTGTCTATATATCCTGAAGTAGAATTATAATATTTTAATAACCATAACATTTTATTTTAAAAATATTAAAATCCCTTAAAAGTAGGCCAGGAAAAAGTCTAACATATAAAACTAAAACAAAACTAAGTAAAAACTCCCACAGAATAGATAGCCAAAGACAATTCTGATTGCTTTTCATCAATCCTATCATTCAATTTTCTTCCCCGGAGGGAAACTTTCATAAGACGCTGTTTCTTAGAGTGTTCGCTACTGAAGTGAAAGCAGCACAATCTATGATCAAATACCCTCCTACAGCTCACCTCAGTACACCTCAGTCACCAGCTCTATTTAATAAATGATGTTAGCAGTTTTAAAAATTTTACTCAATTGCAATATGATTTTCAACCACTTTTCATTGACCTTAAATTCAAACATGAGTCAAATTAACTCTAAGCAAAATATCGACAGCTCATCCAAACTTCCTGGGAGCCTTCAGCACACTTTCAAAGCTGTTCTGGACACTCCACTGCTATTTTTAAATAGTGCCTTTTAAAAATGTACATGGGGGAGGGGGTGGCAGAGGGAGTCCTGCACAGAGCACTGGCCTAGGATGCATAAGGCCTGGGCTCCTTCCCTAGCTCCTCCCCCAAGAAATGACACGCAAAAGGAAATAGAAGCAGCAAAGGAAAAAAGTGACTGAGATTCTTTATTTCAGTATAGGAAAGAGCAATCCCATTTCTAAGACTGTTGGGTACTATGCTAGCAGTGGTGGTGCCTAGTGTAGACACAATACCATCAGGGCTCCCACTGCAGTGACTCCAAAATTGAGTCTTACCGTCCCAGGCAATTTTTTGTTTTGCTTTCTTTTCCTTTTGAGACAGGGTCTCATTCCAGAGACCAGGTTGTAGTCCAGGTTGGCCTTGAACTTGCTATGCAGTCCAGGCTGGCCTCAAATGTGTAATTCTCCTGCCTCAGCCTCCTGAGTATTGGGATTACAGGCATAGACCACCACACCCAGCACAAGCCTGCATTTGACATACAGGAAAAGACATGTAGACAAAGAGAAATGATTATCTGGAGCAATGATGACCACGACATCATAAATGGAAACGACTGCTAATCTCTACATTTCCTTGGATATGTTGTTAGTTAGTAATGCATTCTTTTTTCTTTTTCTTTTTTCTTTCTTTCTTTCTTTCTTTCTTTCTTTCTTTCTTTCTTTCTTTCTTTCTTTCTTTCTCTTTTTTGTTTTTTTGAGACAGGGTCTTGTTCAGGCTGGCCATGAGCTTACTTTGTAGCCCAGGCTGGTCTTAAACTCTCATTAATCTCTTGCCTCAGCCTCTGGAGTGCTGGGATTATATGGGTGCGCCACCATGCCCAGATAGTAATGCATTCTTATAGCTCAAAAATGTAAATGTGGCCAGGGATGTATCTCAGTGCCACAGTTCCTGCTTGGCAAGTGCAAGGTCTTGAGTTCTATTCCTGGTACAAACAAAAGTAAGTAGTAGAGTATTTTATGCGCAATCGGGTGGAAAGGCCGTCCGTGCCGCTAGGATGAAGCTCGTGAGATTTTTGATGAAACTGAGTCATGAAACTGTCACCACTGAATTGAAGAATGGAACACAGGTCCATGGAACAATCACAGGTGTAGACGTCAGCATGAACACACATCTAAAAGCTGTGAAGATGACCGTGAAGAACAGAGAGCCGGTGCAGCTGGAAACACTGAGCATTCGCGGGAATAACATTCGCTATTTCATTCTGCCAGACAGCTTGCCTCTGGACACGCTACCTGTGGATGTTGAACCTAAGGTGAAATCTAAGAAGAGGGAAGCTGTGGCAGGAAGAGGTCGAGGCCGAGGTCAAGGAAGAGGACGTGGCCGTGGCAGAGGACAAGGGGGTCCCAGGTGATAACGCCTCCCAAGATGACTGGTGCAGAAGTGACTGGGGCTATTTTTTGTACAGGTTTTGTTTGTCAGTTTTTAATAAACGTAATTGTGGGACAGAGTTGTCTGTTGACTATTACCAAGCTTAAGTTTTTGCAGTTTTTATTACGTGTTTGTTGTATTTGTGAAATTAGCAGTACCAGCAGATCAATTCTCT